CTCTCTCTCTCTCTCTCTCTCTCTCTCTCTCTCTCTCTCTCTCCCTCCCAGAGAGAGAAAACTAGAACTATGATTGCCATTTATTAGGTATGTGATATTCTAAGTACTATTTTAAGTGATTTATATCTTCTAATCTATTTAATCAACACAGAAACTCCATGGGGTAGGTACTATCATTATTCCCATTTCCAAGAAAAGAGAACTGACATAAGAGAGTAAATTTGTTCACCTGATATAAGTAATAAGCAACGGAGTGAGGACTTGACTCTGTAGCTATAAGGCCAGCAGCCTATATCATGTATGTGGACAAGGAAGCTTCAACAGATGTTACCTTTGAAAGGCAGTGAGCATACAGGGATACAAGTTCCTTCTCTTCCTTCTTTTGTTATTTCCTAAATTTGGTAATATCAATATGAATTCATTTGTAATCAGATAAACTAATAATCTATTAATAGCCTGGTGGAAGGTCTTTCCCCAATGTTATTGTCCTAAATCCAAACCCAAGTCTTTCGTAGTGGCAATGCCTTCCTGGAAGTCTAAAAGGAGAAAAAAACTTCCCACCCACTTTCTCCCTCCCCCCTCCCTTCCTCCTTCCTTCATCCTCTCTCTTCCCCCTCCCTCCTTCAGTTCCTCTTCTTCCTCTTCTCTTCTCTTTCTTCCCTTCTCTCAACCCATTTTAGACAATACTAACTGTACTGCCTACAATAAAAATTCACTGAGGAGCCTCCTTCGGACAGTTCTGTCTCTGAGTTAAAGCAGGCAGGGAAGAGATTCCTCCAAATATGCACAAGGTCAGTCAGGAACAGAGTTCAAATGACCAGAAGCCAATGCCTCAATCTCAAAGGGATTTCTCTTTCCATGTTGGAGGACAACACTCCCACCCTGGCCATACTGAGTGTCTCCTGCCCAAGCGTTGCAGAGTGAGCAGCCCTGCTCTGTAGCCGGAATAAGGGCTGGCATTAAAAAGTAAGCAATTCTAGGGATGAGGGCTAAGCAAGGTTGGGGGAAATCACTTGGAAAGACAAAATATTCAGAATGAAAAGAGCTTCGTCCAAATGTTAAAGGCTCCCAAGTAGCCCCCCTGGGTTGATTTTTGGCCTCTTACTTTTGTTCCAGGGCTGGCACCAGAGTATATGAGACAGAGACAGATGTTAGGGCTCCTGAGAGCTGCCCACCCACTAGCTGCAACTAGCTCAGTTGAAAAGAGCTGGGCTCGCAGTATTTCCCGCTGCCACCGCCCCCTCCCAGCGCCCTTCTATCTTTGCCTTTGCCAGGACTAAGAGCCATGCGGGATATCCACCCTGCCTTTTACCACCTCCACAACTCAATAGGGGATGATTTCTTAGCGCACGTGCCCTTGGAGCCACTAACGTTCGCCTCGCCGCTTACAGGGGCACAAGTCAATGAGGCTTTTCCCTCCGCGATCATCGTGAATCAGCAAAGCGCTGCAGAGCAGCAGCATCTCAGCAAGCAAAAATTAAAATGCTGGGGGAAGGGCACAAGTGGAGTGTGGCAGGGTAATTTCTAGCCCCTTTCAGTGTGTCCTTCCCAAGGAGGGCAATATAGAGTTGGGAGGGAGATGTAGACTAGAAGCTGCTGGACTTGGGTGTCCTGAGGAGCCTTTGGAAATATAGCCGGGATGGCGAACAGCCTGAATGAGCAAAGAGAAAACCTGCAAGAGACAGGTGGAAGGACCTAGAGAGCTCGGGCCGAGTTGGACAAGTGTGTCCCCAGGGTGGGCAGCACATCAGTAGCAGGCGTTGCTGAGGGAATACCGGTGTGGTATGGGGGGAGGGAGGAAAAAATAAAAAAAGAAGGATTTCCTGTCCCGCGACTTCCCGTTTCCAACGTGGAAGTTCTCAAGTTCAGTTTGAGAAGTGGAGGGCCGCTGGGTGTTGGGGAGGCTAGGAGAGGTTGGGATTATGAAAACGCCTTTCTGAATCCTCTCTCTCTCTCTCTCTCTCTCTCTCTCTCTCTCTCTTTCTCTCTCCCCTTTCTTCTTCTCCTCCTCCTCCCGTCCCTATTCCGTCTTCCTTCATCTCTGATTAATATGTATGTCCATGCTTAGTAGTGCGGGCCATACTCCAGGGACCGCGCCTCCAACTACCACCACCTCCCATCCGACCCCAGGCACTAAGTGGCCGAGCAGGAGCGACCAGAGGCATGGGATGAGCAGACTGAGCTCCTGAAGTGCAGAACCTGAGGACCCCTCTTGATGCCTTGGTTCCCACCCCCACCCTGGCCCGACAGGAGCCTCAGTGACCCAGACTCGGTGGATCCCGCTCGGTCTGTGTTGCAGTGGATGAACCCAGAGGCTCAAAGCGCGCAAAGAAACGCGCTGAATTGTACCTGTGCGTGGCCGTTCCCGCCGCCGCAGGTCTATCCCAGGCCGAAGCCGGCGCCCGCCTTCTCGGGGAAATCTCCCGAGGGGGAGTGCGAAGGGAACCACAGTGACTGCCTGCTAGCTCATGGCTGGCGCGCACACGCACACGCCCAACTTTGCCGAGCCGTCGGCGCCCCCCCCCCGGCTCCCCCGCGCCCCCTGCGGCTTGACACGCTCCGAGACCTGTACACCTCCAGGTCTGTAGAGTGTGGAAGAGGAGTGGGTGGAGTGAAGGAGAGAAGGGGGTCAACCCTACAGACTCCCTGACCAGCCTTTCTCAAACACTCTATCCCCGCAGGGGTGCCCGGGCCAGCTCCACCGCACCAGGTCCCCCAGACCTGCCAGTGACGACAGAGCGAGGAGGAGGGGGAAGAAAAAAAGGCAGGGTGGAGATCAGAGAGCCCTGCCTGGTGACAGACGGTTCCACGATCGGACCAACTCATTCCCAGCACTTTTATTATTGGGGGACTGGGTGGCGAGGGTGGGGGGGGGACGCGCAGCAGAACTGCCCAGCTCAATCTACTCTGGAGCGACCCTAAAATTAGGGCGAGAAAGACTGTCCCCATACACATTTGGGGTGGATGTGCTCCAGAGGCGCAACGGTCCCCCATGGTGCCCCTGGAGCTGCAGTGTTGGGGCGATCTTAAATGGCTCTTACTTGGGAGGAGGCGTGATTTCCACGCTCGAGCGTCTTCGCTCCCCACCCCCTCTCGGCACCAGCCAGTGCGCGCCACCACCTGAGCCTGGCTAGAGCCAGGGCGCACGCAGTCCTCAGTCGGCTCCTTTTCCGCGTCGGGATAGACTCTGCTCGAAGCGGGTCTGCCTGACGGCCCCCTATCCCACCCCCAAAGGGAGAACTCTTTTACTTTTTTGTTTGAGAAAAATCCGAGGCATTTATTTCTTTATCTCTGGGTCTCCCCGGAGGAGGGCAAGGGAGGGGAGAGAGCTCCAGCTCAGCGGGCCGGGCCGGGGGAGGGGAGCACAGAGCGCGGAGAGGAGGGGACTGGGTGTAGCCTGGAATTCTCTGTCCTCGTGTTCCCCGGCTGGCGCTCACAGTCTCCTGGCGCTAGCGCCGCCGCTCCCCGCGCCACCCCGTCGTTGGCCTCGGGGATCGGGTGAGTGGGGTCATGACGCGCCCCGGGGGCCGCCCCCGGCTCCGCCCGCGCTGAGCAGGGACGCGGCAGTATCGCGCATCGCCCCCCGGGCGGGGACGCGGCGGGGGGT